ATATATATATATATATATATATATATATATATATATATATATATACATATACACACACACATATGAAAAATTCTAAAATTACTGAACCAAATCATAGGAGCCTGATAAAAATTTTAATTTTAGAAGAAAATTTCAGATGGCACTTAGTGGCTTTTGCATTTTAACTCTTCAAATATTTATACATAATATAATATTTTTAAAAACATAAAATACAGTTATAAAATTTTCTTTAACATAAAATACAATTTATTTATTTATATATATATATATATATCTGTGTGTGTGTGTGTGTGTATATATATATATATATAAGTTATCATGGACACTGTACTGTTCGAAGTGGATGTAATAAAATGTCATTAGACCGAGAAGATTTTAAAACGAACGGTTCATTCATAAATTCATAAGACCTTACCTTCACACCGTGTAGATACAAACAAAAGACGAGTGCAACGCTGAAAAGGGGTGGAGCTACATAAGTCTATATACACATATGTATGCATATATGTCCCTCCAGTCATGTTAGAGACTGTTATTTTAACTTTAAAATCTTAAGCATATGCCCCAAATCACGTGACTTGCAAGAAGTGATTTCATTTCTTTGGAGGGAAAGCACCTCTAAGAACAAACAAACAGTCATAAACTTTTCTCTCTTTCCCTCATTTTAGAAGACGTTTCTAGTAAGTCCACCCTGTTGTAATGACCTTCATTAGCTTTAAACCCCTACCATGCAATGTAAAAATGTAACAGGGTGGACACATTTCCTAGAATGTGAATGTAAAATCTGAAATAGTTATGTCTGAATGAACAGGTTATACTAGCCTGAGCTTGACCAGTGTATGATCCCCTCTGACAAGACAAAAAAAAATAATTAAATTAAAAAACTAATTCCATGAATCCTGATTGGTGTCACGAGTAGTCTGTGTTGATTTTGTTTTCCTTGTGTTGCCTGCCTATTTCCTTTGTTCTCATTTTCACTCCTGTATTAAGTTTCTCATGAGTTAATGTGTATATTTAAGCTCTTAGTTTTCTTAGTTCTTTGTCCAGTCTCGTTTATGGTAAATGTGTTGCTTCGGCATTATGCAAATCTTCCCAAATAGTGAGGTAGATATGTGGGGGCGTGTTAGAACGAGGCGTTTTAGGTAGGCGTGGCTGACTCTTAACTTTTATAAAGAATATGGATTTGAGACTTTAGTCTTTGCAAATTTACAGATCTTCTTTATGCACCAAGAGCTTGTAACACTCCAAAGAGAAAGGAAAAAATGAAATCGCATCATATGACCCCTTTAAAACTCCTAGTTAAATTTCCTCATTGTGCGCTTTATTTGGATTGTACTACACAGCACTGTTACACTTGGTTTAAAATCCACCTAAACTGAATGAATAACCTTTACATATTTACAATGAGCACCAAATAAAAGACACTGCAAGTCAACTGCTGAAGGCAAGTGATCTTACCTAATAAACAACAACAAAAACATGTCTGCATTTTTTCTAAATCAAAGCAGTAAAGGCCAGACTGACCATGCAGGGGTATTCAAGTCTTCATATTCTAGAATAGAAACACATCAAGATGCAACAACAAATGATATAGAGCATTATTGTTTACCATTGTCTTCATCTGCCACCTCACAGGCAATGGCAACAAATTAAATGAAATAACAGCAAGATAAAGTAATCATCACTTCATGAAATTTCACAAATGATTTATTTTCACATTTATCAGATAAGAACACGTTTATAATTTCTTTATAATTCACTTTTGCACATTTCAACAAAGATGATAACATAAAAAGCAAATGTATTAAGACTACAAGGTATAAAAATGACTGTTAAAGAAGACTATAAGATATAAAAATGGCAGCTAAAATGATTGTCATCGTTTTTCCAAGTAATCTGACATTTGCGTAGAAACTGTACTGTAGCACCTCTTGAAAAAAAGCTGAAGCGTAACACCAGAGTAACAACAATCATCTGCATCATGCGTCCAGTTACAGACGTGCAAACATACCAGTTTTATCAGTAAAGTGTTTCAGCAACTTTCAAATAAATCAGTGAATGCAGCAAGGTATCCATGTAGACAGTTATATTTATTATTTCAGAATCTAAACAGACAAGACAAAATAATGATGTTAAACAGATCAGTAGCTTTTATAGTGTTAATGACAAGAAACAGAGATAAACTGGGAGATATGAAAAAAAGTAGTTACTGATCAGCTAATAGTGAATTATCACAATCAACTGAGCGCTATTACTTACTAATTATTTGTTTCATAGAAGTTTCTTGTTAGTTAAAAATAGTTACTAGAATTGTAATAGTGCATTAGTCATTTGTTCCTGTGTAGTTATTCATTAATGACAGAACAGTATTTTAAAGTGTTGCCGGAAAACATCAACAAAACCCATAATGCACTGGGCATGTTAAGGCATGGATAGGCTTGTTCAGAGTTAAACACCACCTCGCTTTGGTTGGAAATACTGCTTAGCAAACTTTTAGTCACAGTAATGTTGAATTGTATTGTTCCCGGGCACAAAAATTGAAGGATCCAGTGCGTTTAAGGCAGTGGCTAAAGGCTGCCAAGAGTCATAATTATGGAGAGAACACTGCGAAATCTGAAAAACCTCAGTGTTTGTAGTCTCTATTTGGACGCATTTAATTTTTTTGGGTGATGCGCCTAAAAATTCTTAATTACGATATTTTCGGGCATCAATATACTGCAGCCATTGAAAGTTCACAAGACCATAAGTGCATATAAAGTGTACCATTTGGGCTTTACTGCCATCTTTACGAATCTATGTATGACCACGTCATCAGTAACACATGCACACTGTGGTCAGAGTGAAGTGTAATGTTTACATGCCTGTTTATTGCACTTAAAATCAGCATACGCCACATATTTATGTGATAATGGTTACTACGATTATCAGCTTAATTGCATCAATTTGATTTTTATTGTGTATTGTATTTACATGTTTACAAGTATTGTGTTTACATGAGGTCAAATTTAACATAGTCATTGATTTGACATTGATTCCAAATACTGGAATCTTGGTTTGGTGACAGTTTCTTTGAGAGCCATGCAAGTTTCTGCCGATTCTGTTCTCATGTGTCCTACCTTTTATTCACTGTCCCTTTCAGTTAAAGTCAACATAATAAATGTTACATTAGTGTCTGATTAGCAGTCTCAGCCTCATTCCCATCAGGGGACGTCTCATTAGCAGTTTCCATCAATGGAGAGTCAGACATATTAGGGGACCAGTCTTTTAAATATCTCTCCTGTAATAAAACACAGATTCACATGTTGATGATGATGAAGATGATTCGGTTACACAAACACATGGTGCTTTTTCCTGATGTTCACTGAATGCACACAGGGCTTCTTTTCCTAAATATTTAACACAATATCTTAAATACAATGAATCTTCAGTCTAATAAACTGCATCACACTGTGATCTTCTGTACTACAGTTATACAATGTTTGAATGCCATAGTGTCTGAGGCACAATATTTAGAATATTACAAATTATTTAGGAAGAATTTTGATTAGAATTCTTATTTTTATTAAAAGGACTGATATTGACAATGTGACTTATTAGTATGAGTCCTAGTTTCAAATATTGGACATCTGAGGTGCTTGAACTGTGCTCACATAGTATCTCACCTGATCACTGTGCTGCCTCCTGCTGCCTGTTTGAACAATACCAAACTCAATTAAACACATTACTTTGGTTAATTAAGATAGAAATACATATTTTTACATTTTTCAAAAATTGCTTTTGTGCAATTTCTATCTTGTTCAATTATCTGTATGTGATACTCACTGTTTCTTTTTGCTTGATGCTTGCCATAGTAAATCGCAGCAGCTGCTGCAGCAATAAGCAGCAGACCACAAACACATATTCCTGCTACAGCAGCTGAAGACAGAGCGAAATCTGTAATGACAAAGACAGACAATCCAAGATGGCACTCCCCTGTGTGCGACATAGCTCTCCGAGTCAAGCTTTACTTATCTTTTGTTTTGTTAGTGTCACTATTGTCCTTTCATGTGCTCATGTTAAGTATGATCGAGGGATTCTAGGAGCTCCTTCCCAGAGCTACATCTCCACGCTATAACAACACAGCGACGAGGCAGGAGACGAGGAGGGGAACGGAGGCTACTCCAAACAAGATGATCTCTTCAGTTGGATGGCTATATGGAGGTACATCCAGGCCAGTATCATTGATATCAATACTGATGTTGTTATTAAATACATTTTCCCCTCAGTTTTAGCCATTATAGCCATTCAACATTACAGTCTAACTGAAAGCCATTATTTTTAACATTTAACAGGCTTTGAAAACTATGAATTTAAATTTAATATAGATTAATCTTTATTCAAGCTACAAACGTTAAACAACAAAGAGCAGTGAGTGATTTCTTTTTAACTTTTGCTGTACATGACAAAACTGCAGCAGGTTTCACTTTAAAAGCAGTGCTGTCTCTTTAAATCCTGACACAAATCGGGTTTTCTTCCAACTCTTTGCGGTCATTTAGGACTTTTTAACTCTTTTAAGAATGCGTTTACAGGTCACTCGCCAAAAACGGGCATTTTGGCATAATTTTGTGTTTGTTTGTCCTTTGAAGCATTTAAGAGTACTATTAACTTCTCTTTTGCATCTTATTGAAAAAAACGGATGCTGCATTAATTGTGTTCAATATTTTAATGCATTAAACTGTTATTAACATGTTATTTATAGGGGAAGTTGTGGCCTAATGGTTAGAGAGTCGGACTCGTAACCCAAAGGTTGCGGGTTCGAGTCTCGCACTGGCAGGGATTGTAGGTGGGGGGAGGGAATGTACAGCACTCTCTCCCACCTTCAATACCACGACTGAGGTGCCCTTGAGCAAGGCACCGAACCCCCAACTGCTCCCCAGGCGCCGCAGCATAAATGGCTGCCCACTGCTCCGGGTGTGTGTTCACGGTGTGTGTGACAGTCCTAATTTGAAAATTTAGTCAAAGTTCACTTTTTTTCACACGTCTCGATTTAAACATTTCAAACTGTATTTTAAAATTCCTAATGGCCAAAGGCCCTGAAGGACTAAAGTTTACTTACCAGTGACAGTGACAAAAAATATAATCCAACTGGTGATGCTGATGCTGCGGCGATGACGACGGATGCTGCTGATAATCTGTAGTTTATAAAGTCCAGAGTCTGTGGTTCTGGTGTTTGTGATGGTCAGAGATCCAGTCTGATGATCCAGCTGCAGTCTGTCTCTCAATCTCTCTTTACACTGATCATCTGTACAGATCTTACTCTGATCTCCAGTGATTTCAGCGATGAGAATGTCAGTAAAATACCACGTCATCACATTATTTGGTTTTCTTATTACAGCAGGATCTAAAGTGACAGATTCTCCCTCCATCACTGTCTTTCTCTTCACTTCATCCAATTCAGCAGCAGGAACTTCTGAAACACAAATCAACAACAACATTTGTGCATGTATTGTGCTTATAAACACATTTTACATACTTATATTACATCAAATATTTTTTTTTAAACAGCTGACAGATCAGAGAAGGCATGATTATGTCCACCAGCACATGACTACAGCTTTTCTGAACCAAAACTTATTTATAAAACTATCAGCTTATCAATGGAAATAATTTGGTTTTCAAACTGTTCTGTTTGATGAGAAAAAAAAAATCAACAACCATTAATATGATTTAAACATAACTGCTTCTGCTTGAGTCATTTAATGAATGTTTCACGAAATGACTCACCAAGAACAGTAACACTGAAAGCCTTTTCACTGATGCTGTGGTTATTAATGATCTTTAGCTCATAAACTCCAGAGTGTGTGGTGTTGATGTTCATGATGGTCAGAGATCCAGTCTGTTGATCCAGCTTCAGTCTGTGTCTGAATCTCTCAGTGCCTTTATTGCACTGAACATCTGTACAGATATAAGTCTGATCTCCAGTGATTTGAGCTATTCGAATGTCATTAAAATACCATTTAATATCTAGGTGGTTTGTTTTAACTCCAGTCTGTAGAGTGACTGAATCTCCCTCCATCATGGTCACTCTGTCTGTATCAACACTGAAAACACCTGGAGAAGAAATTAACAGTTCATTATAAATGATGACTGGAATAGTGGGACAAAATTATAACAGGAAAGGGCTGTGAATTTTTTTTATTTTTATCTTCAGATCATGAAAATTAGTTGCTTAATTGGTTGCTTTAAATGTCAGTCAGAGGGCCTCTTGGGCAGCCCTTGGTCAATGAAGGTTGCTTCAGAAGGGGAGTGAATGTACAGCACTCTCTCCCACCTTCAATACCACGACTGAGGTGCCCTTGAGCAAGGCACCGAACCCCCAACTGCTCCCCAGGCGCCGCAGCATAAATGGCTGCCCACTGCTCCGGGTGTGTGTTCACGGTGTGTGTGACAGTCCTAATTTGAAAATTTAGTCAAAGTTCACTTTTTTTCACACGTCTCGATTTAAACATTTCAAACTGTATTTTAAAATTCCTAATGGCCAAAGGCCCTGAAGGACTAAAGTTTACTTACCAGTGACAGTGACAAAAAATATAATCCAACTGGTGATGCTGATGCTGCGGCGATGACGACGGATGCTGCTGATAATCTGTAGTTTATAAAGTCCAGAGTCTGTGGTTCTGGTGTTTGTGATGGTCAGAGATCCAGTCTGATGATCCAGCTGCAGTCTGTCTCTCAATCTCTCTTTACACTGATCATCTGTACAGATCTTACTCTGATCTCCAGTGATTTCAGCGATGAGAATGTCAGTAAAATACCACGTCATCACATTATTTGGTTTTCTTATTACAGCAGGATCTAAAGTGACAGATTCTCCCTCCATCACTGTCTTTCTCTTCACTTCATCCAATTCAGCAGCAGGAACTTCTGAAACACAAATCAACAACAACATTTGTGCATGTATTGTGCTTATAAACACATTTTACATACTTATATTACATCAAATATTTTTTTTTAAACAGCTGACAGATCAGAGAAGGCATGATTATGTCCACCAGCACATGACTACAGCTTTTCTGAACCAAAACTTATTTATAAAACTATCAGCTTATCAATGGAAATAATTTGGTTTTCAAACTGTTCTGTTTGATGAGAAAAAAAAAATCAACAACCATTAATATGATTTAAACATAACTGCTTCTGCTTGAGTCATTTAATGAATGTTTCACGAAATGACTCACCAAGAACAGTAACACTGAAAGCTGATGCTGTGATGCTGTGGTTATTAATGATCTTTAGCTCATAAACTCCAGAGTGTGTGGTGTTGATGTTCATGATGGTCAGTCTGTTGATCTGTTGATCCAGCTTCAGTCTGTGTCTGAATCTCTCAGTGCCTTTATTGCACTGAACATCTGTACAGATATAAGTCTGATCTCCAGTGATTTGAGCTATTCGAATGTCATTAAAATACCATTTAATATCTAGGTGGTTTGTTTTAACACCAGTCTGTAGAGTGACTGAATCTCCCTCCATCATGGTCACTCTGTCTGTATCAACACTGAAAACACCTGGAGAAGAAATTAACAGTTCATTATAAATGATGACTGGAATAGTGGGACAAAATTATAACAGGAAAGGGCTGTGAATTTTTTTTATTTTTATCTTCAGATCATGAAAATTAGTTGCTTAATTGGTT